ATTTCGATACAGAAATATCTTTGTTTTTTGGTTTGGGACGAAGAGTTTCTTTTAGGGATCTCAATTCTCGAACCCATTTAGGATGAGTTAAAGATTTGGCAAGTCCAAAAGAAGCTGTGGGAAAAGTGGGAAGGTGATCGGGACAATACATTTCAAAAGGGGTTTTTCCTCGAGGATTGATTATTTTGTGGTTCGATCGATTAATGTATGTTTTGTTGGCTAAGGAAATAACAACATCATAGAAGGTCGATTCTAATTTTAAGGGGTTGTAACATATTCGATAAAAATTCTCGAATCGAGATATTTGGAGATAGTGGGAGTGTGTACCTTTCTTCGCCTTCGACTTGTCCTGCAACACGAGAGAGGGATGAGCAGTCAATTTTTGTTGAAGTATGGCAAAATCAGAATGATTATTCGAAAACCAATCGGGCCACCACTCAGAGAAACCTAAAGTTGATAAATAATTGGATTCAAAAACATAAGGATAAAAATGCATTGGGGTTTTTGGTAGCAATTTGGAGAGCTCCCGTCCGATTGTCGATTCACTTAACTTGGACCTTGGGGAAGTATCGAGAGGATAAAAAGGTAAGGCTTGACTCAGACCAAACTGGCGCGAGAAAAGCTGGGGGTAATAAGTGATGAGTTGAAGGTCCTTCGATTGGAAACCCGATACCAAGACATCTTGAGCTAAGTAATTACTCCATACTTCGATCAATTCCGATTGTAGTCCGGGAGTAAGAGCAGGAAATTTTGATCTAAACCATGTTTGCCCTCGAAGTTGGTCACTTATTTGTCCAAGATACACAGTAAAAGGGGCCAAACTCGAATCAAAATGAAAGCGGGTCAGCAAAAATTGCAAGTAATTTCGGTAACTAGTCTCATCGGATTTGTGGTGGGGATGTCAAGAAGATAATCGAGCACCCTCTAAATTCAGACTTGGGGGGATTTGTAAGGTTGGGTGGAGGGTACTTTCAAAAATCGAGATGAGCCATAATTGAATAAACCAAATAGGACCCGAAAAATTCCCCGAGGCCCTAGGGGCGTTCAAAATATCGACGGCCTCATCGAAAGCAGTATAAACATGGGCCAATAATAACTTGGCTAAATTAATTTGTGGTTGGCCAGTGTGAAGAATATAGGCGAGGTTATAGAGGTGGGATGTAATTTGGATGGATCGGGGGCAGAAGACGTGGGTGCATAACCAGTATACCAAGAAGGCCACGTGCTCCTCATCAGAAACAGCCACTGTTGAGTCATCAATGAAATGTTTCTCGAGAAAATGCTCATAGGCTTTCGATTCCCAATCGATTTTGGACCTTAAGGAATTTTCCGATGAAAAAGCACCTTTAAAATATTTTTCTCCTATGGCTTTTAGCCCGGTAATAACAGCAATTTTGAAAAGAGTGGGCGAAAAAGGGCCACAAGGCAGTTCCAAAGCATGCAAGTCCTTATTCCATAAATGAACAGCAGATAAAAACATGGACATATCCAAGAAGGACAGGTCACACTGAGACAAATGAAGAAAATCGAAAATTCCTACAGCCCTCCAATGGTCCCCAAACTTAGCCTTAATTCGATCAAACCATTTCATGTACGAGGGTTTTTTGTGAGGTGGGCACGTTCGATATGCCTTGGACACAATGTGCAAAAAATCTATTTGAACCTCAGGCTGATGGACAAGAGCTTTACTCTCTGAAGGAAGGCTAAGAGAAGAAGAAAATGATCCGCCACAATAGCGGATAGGACCTCCGAAAGCGTAATTAATATTATCAGCAGTATAGGGAATGAGTACATGCGTCTCAGCGATTTTCTGAGAGGCTTCCTCCATCAGAGGAACTAGAGCGAATTTCTGGTTATTGATCTCCAATAGGTTGGTGGCCACCGAAGGAAGTGGTGGGGTGGAAAGGTCAGAGGATCTGGATGAGGTTGCCATTTCACTAGCTGATAGAGCAGAGGAAAACAGAGGGTAAAAGACGGAGGTGCAAGGAAGAAGATGAAGATACAGAGGAGGAATAAAGTTCGTGGTAAAAAACAAGAGTAAAAGGCTAACAAACGTTTGAAGCACTAGGGTACTGGAAGCGACGAAGGGTAATTAATGTGGCGTGTGCAGTGAGGCGGCAGAACTGACATGACAGGTGACATAAAGTGGAAAAAACCCTAAAACCCCAGCAACCCTAAACCCTAAGTTTTGATGGGCCTCCAAAAGGCGGGAATCATGTTGAAAGAATATAAATACAAACTTTTATATTCTTCCAAGGGGGCATTCTGTTAATGGGAAATCGATAAAGGGATCGAAAAAATGAAGGCAAGAAAAAATCGAAGACCACACGAAGATAAAAGTACATCGAGAATCGAAGAAACAAATTTCGATGCCTATTGTTGAAGTTAGAATAGTACAAAATTAAAGGGAATCAAAAGCAGAATTTAAGATACTCGATGTCTGAAATCGAGATCGAGGGAGCAGTTAACACACACAGGGAACGTGGGAAACAGTTTCTAAATCGCAACAGAGATCGAAGGAGGAGGAGTTCTCTTATACGTAAGAACGTGGAGTGCAGTTTCTAAAACTGTAAAACTAAAGGAACGGGCACGTAGGATCGTGGGAATAGTGGTATTAACCACTCTTGGGAGGTTACTTCAAAGATGCTCTATAAATAAAGCAAAGATCGAAAAGGAGGGAGGGAAATTGGCGAGAGAGCAGGGAATACTAGTGAGAAGTCTACCGGAGAACGACGAACATCATGAAGTTTCTGGCGATCTGGATTTCCATGTTCATTGATTTCCTTTACCGTTTTCTTTATTTTCCCTGGTAATTTACTTTGATGCAGTTTATGTTTAGCAACTTTAAGTTTCTGTATTTTCGATTCCTTGTCATTTCTCTTTAATGAAAGTTAAGTTTCTGCGTTTAAGTTCATTGTCATTAACGTAATTTCGATTTCCTGCCATTTACATTTCTGCAATCTCGATTTCCTGCTATTTACATTTCTGTAATCTCGATTTCCTGTTATTTACATTTCTGTAATTTCGATTTCCTGCCATTTACATTTCTGCAATTTCGATTTCCTGCTATTTACATTTCTGTAATTTCGATTTCCTGTTATTTATATTTCCGCAATTTTGATGCTTTGTCGTTTACACTTAATGCAAATTTGAGGTTTCCGCATTTTTCATTCCTTCGCAGTTTTACATTCGGTACTGCTTTTCGATTTGTCACTTTACTGTTTTCCTTATTTCGAGTACTTCAAATACAAAATACCAAAAATAGTGCTTTCGATTATGAATCTTAGTATTTTCTATACAGTGGTATTTTCGATTCTCATACACATTTCGATTGAAATTCGGTTGTTAGCCTAAGTATAAAAAATCTACGTGGTTGAGTTTTGATTAGAATCAAAACCTCTTAAGAATCGAAATTAATCAAAATTCCACCAGAAACACAAGCATAACATTTTTAATTTATTTATTCTTTTATCTTATGTCAGTCACTCTTAAACAAAAATTGGTTCGCTACATTTTTATTTCAATTTCACGAAATTTAATCTTTCTTTCTCTACTATCTTTTCTTTAACTTTCGATATTTAACAAAATTTATTACAGGTGTAGTTACTTTTTTTTCTAGAAGAAATTTACAATTACAAAAAAAATATTTTTTATTCAATATATTATTAAAAATATTTTTTTTATTAAATTCAAACCTAAATATATTATTTTATTAAATTCTATTTAACCATTAAATCCCCTTTAAAATAATACATATTTTTATTAAATTGGATAATACTCCTAAAATTTCATTTAATTACTCAAAATACCTTTTTTTTCATTATTTTTTCTAGTTTTTGTATTTTGAATTATTTTCAAAATTGATTATATCTATGATTGACTGTAATAATTTTTTTAATTTAAACCAATATCAACATAATAACTTTGTTTGAATAAAAAACACCTTTTACATTATAAATTATAAAAAGAATATGTAAGTTATGAAAAAAGTGTGTATATATATATATAAACAAAACATTGAAAAATGCAACTCAATTTAAAAAAAAATCAATTCATTGACTCTACATACTTATTCTTTAAACAACTTTTAATAATAATAATAATAATAATAATAATAATAATAATAATAAAAAGGCTAAAATCTAATGATTTCAGTTATCCAAAACACATCATAACCCTCTTTAATGATTTAAAACTCCTAAAAAGAATCTTTATGTAAACATCAAAAAGAAAAGAAAAACCACGCACAATATAAAGAAATGTAAGTTACAATTTTTGTCCTCCTTATTATCAACATCCTTCAATTGAGGCTGGAATGAGTCATAATCATATTCTGCCTAAACTTGCATGTTATGAAAGAACCAGGTTCACCGGTTTTCAAAAAATAATGTCCAGATTCTACCAAAAGGAGTTGCGGGGAAAGGAAAAATATTGTGCAGCATTGGTGTATCTAGCAAACCTAAGTTGAACTGAGTAGAGCAGTGCTGCATAACAACTGATTCACATAAAAATATTTAAACCTAATTACTCTTACTCTGATAATGGCTCCTAGCAATTTCCATGTAACACGGTGTCGTCAATTTGCACATTGATCGGTTACTTAATAAACAACCTTAGCTTGGAAGGTTTTATTCCTTCAAATTTCCAATCATCATAGCCGAATTGAGAACAAACGAAGGTGAGATTTTGTCTTGAGAAATGAAAAGAAAAAAATCTTCCGTATTTCTCTTTATAAAAGGAGAAAAATACAAGAAAGTATTTCGCAAAACATTCTTAATCTGCAGACGTTGCTAACAACTTCCAATAAGTTACATTGATCACTGATTTCTTAAAATTGCTAATTATCCAACTCATATAATAAGATAGAAGAGGAGAAAAAAAAAATTAGGCTGAAAAAGAAAGAAACCAATAAATAATGGAACCAAAATGGATAAGAGCACATTCATGGTCCTTCACCTATTTTAACTCACACCTGCAGTTGTGGTAGTATACTAACAAGGCTAAGTTGTGACCATGTCCTCCACTCCGTTCTGTGCAGCCGCATCTGCCAGTCTTTTCCAATTAAGTTCCCGCAGCTCTGCTACATCTTTGGCCTTACTCTCATTCTCTGCGTGCTGTCGCTCGCACTCTTCAAACAATTCTGTATCCATTTCCATGAACATTTTGCGAACATTCACGGTCAGTCCATGTACTGCCTGATTCCAATGACTCGAGATGTTCTTCTCAAAAGCATCAAATATTATTGGTAGTATCACAGTCCTGTTTTGGGCAATTAAGCTCACAACATGTTCATTGTTCCACAAAAAGAGGGTTCGTTCTGCAACCTGCATAGTAAGTGTGCCTAAGCAAAAGAGTTCTGAAAGAACATTTTAACCATGAAAAATGATAGAAGTGAAAAAAATTCAGTTCTGACTCTTCACGATTCTAAACCCTCTATGCTGATTAAAAGACTTCAGAATAAAACATTTGCTATAAGTAAATTACAGAAGCTGTTTAAAGTTCATTTAGAAAAATGAAATAAAATTAAGACGTAAAAGGCATCATTCCTATATTGGTTAAGGTCATATTCTAAAACTGAGGATGCTCAACTATGGGTATTTAATGGGGCACTCAATAAATGACTATTGATCATCAGTAAAAGGGCGTCTCTTGTTTGCTCAGGATTTTTAATTTGTAGTTTTCTCATCTTATTACCATGACAAAAACAAAAAAAATTGTGCAATCATTCATATGATACCAGTTAATAAAAAGGACTAGACTAGAAAACATCGAACAGAATATTTTGTCAGACAAATTTAGCATCAACAACTCTTACAGTGCAATAAAATACCCAAGACTTATCTGTATATGAAAATATCCATACTGATACTGCAGCTAAGTAGCTAAATGATGTCAATAAAAAGGGAGTAGAAAAATTGTTCAGCATAATACAATGAATCAATGCATTAAATTAAGAGATCTAAACACAAGTCTAATATTAATAACATACCCATCGTTACCCTCCCCTCAAATGAGAGATAAATGTGCTATACCCTTCACCCAAGAAAGATAAAATATGCTAATGCTATGATGCAGTTCTTTTAATTTTAAACAGAACATCTTAGCAATTGTGGGTGAGAAGCTATAAATGGGACTCCAAGGGGATTTTTTTCCTTTCTCTAATTTATAATGTCTGTGGCAACTAATTTTGAAGATATAATTATTGAAATCAAATTAAGTTTAAAAATCTCTAGCATAAGTATAAAATTATTTTTTTGCTTTTCTCTAATTTATAATGTCTGTGGCAACTAATTTTGAACATATAATCATTGAAAACAAATTAAGTTTAAAGATCTCTAGCATAAGTATAAAAAAATGTACAAGTTATCTCCTAATGTTGCAAAGTCGATCATAGGAGATTTATAACGGATTATCCATGATCCAGAGAGTCACAAACAAAGAGAGGAAAGTTGTCCTCTAAAAGGACCATTCACGTTAAAATGGATAAAAGGGTAACATGTTGATTTCTCAAAGGAATTTAATTTTTTTAAAATAGAGGAGAGGACAATGAAAGTTAAGCACCTAGTAGGAGACGGGTGTAATTTACTCCATTTTAATTTAAAAGCACTATAAGATTTGCAATAAAAGGCATTCCACCCTCCAGGACCTCAACTGTCTACCAAATAAGCCCCTGACTTTAGAAATTAGCCAGCTTAAATATCCAGTCTTCCATTCACTAATGAGTGAAAGAAAGTAAAAAAATGAGATCAGCTGAGCAGGGTCTTGCCAAACTGAAGATAAAACTCTCAAATTGTTGGGGAATTGGGTTGTCATTTGAGATTTTAGAAATTTGAACCAACTTTAGATGGAAGAAGTTATTTGCCAACTGTTAGGAATTTCAAAGGTATGCAGCCATTCAGAGGCTTAACAAGAAACCAAGAGACAGCAGTTTCATCATCATGTTACTATAAGGAACAAGGTAGAAGCAAGATAAGCTTACAAAACAAGACTAATGAAGCAATAGAAAATTAGAATGAAGGCTCAATTGAAATTTGCTCCCTGATATATCAGATCGGTGCAACACCCTCTTGATCTAATAAACTAAACTCATTCACACTTTACTTGAGAAGAATTGAAGTTCATTTGCAATGTGCCACTGGCCCTTCAACAGAAGTAGAGCCAGCAATACTTGTTTACGGTTGCAAACAGTATAAATATTTAAAGTTCTTAAAATGTTTTTATCTGGATTTAAATTAATACTATAGAAATTATTTTCCTTTATGAGGGTGTTGCTCCCTTTCCTACGAAAATAGGTTCTTATACAAATGAAGGTTAGGTTAGCAAGTTACATGTAAGTAACATAACTAATAGGTAGGGTTTTTTAACTACCGCCACAAAGGTACTGATGTGGTGCAAAGCTAAATAGAGGTCCTCTCCAGTCACTATTCAGGGCACTATTTCGTCTGGCTAAGGTCACTACAGTGGCAACTGTAATGGCTAGAGCTATGTTTGGAATTTCAATTTCCAAAAATGAAATCTACAACTGCAATAGTATTGAAAATGATAAAGAAGACATGGATTTCAAAGATGAGGATTAATGATTCCTCTCTACCAAACTGTATTTGACTTTTGTTGGTATTTGCTTCTTCGTTCTGTGTAAGATACCTATATATGAGTGTCAAGAATTTTGAATATCATTTTATCATTTTTGAAAATTTATATCTATATAGCATACTTATAAGCTTTAAATATGGCAGCTATCCTGCTATCCCCTCTATTTGTATATTTTGACCAGCCACCACACACCACTATCCAGTATTTAAAACACTTCCATCGGCTAAAAAACAACATATTATCTGTGATATGATAACTGAATTTCACCCATGGTATTTTCTGAGCATAGAAATGTTGTCCCTAGCAAATTAAACCCACCACCCCAAATAATTTCTATAGGAACCAGATTTTGAATTTCATCTATTCCTATCCTTACAGTTCAAGTAAATCACAAAACTAACGTATCCCAGTGTCACAAGGCTCATCGTGATGTGAAGGTATGAAAGTGGTTAATTGTTCGCAACCTTATCCTTAAATATGCAAAGAGACTGTTTTTGAATTTGAACCCATGACCAAATGGTCATCAAGGCCAACTTTACTGATGTGCTAGGACTCGCCCTCTAGAACATCAAAGATCAATGATTTCCTGATGGGTTTTAACTCACACAAAATACATCATTACTTACCCCAACCCCAAGTATGTTTTATGGGCTCTCACTGAGGCTATATTTGTTTCCCACGGTTGACTTTCTCTTCATCAGCCAAAACAATAATAGTTTCAGCCTCTAGTGACATACAAGCATCAGGAAGATATTTTATTCAATAAGTGACCAATAGCAAAAGCATTCAGAAATCTTCAGATTGGGTCCACTACATGTTTACTAGTTTGGCTAGTTATTCTCATTAAAGAGCAATTTCCTTTCCAGGTGACAATGGGACGGTTTGTAGAAAGGAATATGTTAGATGATGCAAGCAGATTATGACTCATGAGAACATGTCATGTCCCTTTGAAATATTCCCCATTTCTATTATATTGAGAAACAAAGGTCATCCACAACAATGACGCACAGAGGAAGCTAAGGACAGCTTCTCAGAAAACAAGTTCATTAGGAATTCTTATGTCCTTTCAAACTGTTTTTATTTCTAGAATATAGGCATGTGACCGATTCCATCTATAACTTAACTCTGTTTTGTTGTAGGGGCCACACAATCAGTCATGTTAAATCACAGGAGAATATGTTTGGAATCTTAAACCAATAAGGGCATTTGCATTTGTCCAAACAAACCAGGGAACTAGAGAACACTTGACCCTATAACCATTTTCCCCACAGCTGCAATCTCAAGATTTGATTTCAATTATGTTGGCATTCTTAAAGTACAATCACATGCATGTAATTATATAATAAATAAATATACTAACAAGAAAGAAATAAAATATAACTCCGACTTACTAAATAGTTCTTAGACAACTCAGCAACTTAATGCATTTAAAAAATAGAAAATTAACATTATAGTCCCCAACATATGTCCTCACACATATAACCTTTATTTTGTGAAAGGTATTTTACTATTTAAAAGATATAAATCACACAATTTAATAATTAATAAGTAAACTAGCAGACAATTTCCACCAGTTGAATTTCATTTCTGGTTAACTTGCCATTTAAGTACTCAGCTCCAAACCAAACGATGAACAATAATGAAATCAAAATCCATGTACATGCAAAAGCATATGCATGTGTCTGTCTATTTTAGTTTCAATTATGAAAGGAAAGGATAAAATTAATTCAATTCGAACAAAAATTCTCTTCTCATATCAATAGTAATGACACAGTATAATTTTTTTTCCATTTTTTCCTATCTATTGGAGCATCAGCAATAGATGCATGACATAAAAAGAAGCTAAACAATAAACCTAACAACTGTCCTTATAAAAAAGATAAAACGGATTCAATCTCACTACAGTATGGAACTATAAAAGGGAAAACAGATATAGAATGACACAATTAAAGTTCATTAATTAGGCAGCTGAAACATACATCCCCTAACCCCCGCATACCATAAATAAGAAACCCACAAGTTAAAAAGAAGACCTAGAATAGATGTATAAGGTAAAACGAATCATAACGTACAAGATAGCAGTTCAATAAGTAATATAGCAAACTCCAAACCAAAAATAAAAACAATGGAACACAGCTACTCATAATCTAAACATCAAACTAACACCATCATAAAAGATGGAAATCATCCACGAACCTGAAAGTGAGAACTATTGAGGCAGCGTGAAATCTGTCTAAAAAGTGGAACCATGCATTTTTGAAATTCGGCGGCCTGCGTGGCCTCCAGCACTTCCTCCAGTTCTCCAAGGAAGAGAACCTCCTTCTGGCAATTGGTGAGAGGCCAATACTTCAACAACCCCCTAATCACCGTATCCGCCAGCTTGAAATCCTTCTCCACAAACTGAGTAATGCAGTAAGACAACTGCTGGTGGTACATGGACACCGATTTCGGCTTATGCAGAGGCAGAAGCGCCCTCACCAGAAACAACTTATGCTCCTCTTTCATGGGCAGTGCAAACCCATTAATAATGCTCCCAAGAATCTCCAGAAGCTCCCCAATACCAGAGTGCCGCTCAGTCTCATATATGAACCGATAAAAAATGTTGTTAATAGCCTTTCTAATAAACGGCCTATGCACCATGAATTTCCCGTATATACGATGCAGTATGGTTTTCAAATACTCCCTCTCCCGCGGGTCTTCAGAGTCAAACAAATCAAGCAATTTGAGAACAAAGGAGTGGTCAATATACCGTTTAGCAATTTTCGTATCGGTTTCGGCGGAAACCACGTATCTAAGGAGAAGCTCGTACACGAGCTGAAGGTGAGGCCACGTCGGATCCAAGCTTGGTTCCTCTTCTTCAGGATCCGTGGGTTCTTGGCCTGTGTTCTCGTGCGACGCTGGTGGGAGGCACCGGAAAATGTTGACGGAGATCATTCTGATCATCTCCTCCTGGCAATGCTCCGACATCTTGCTGGAGCCGGATTGGATGAACTCGACGAGGTCCATCAGCGCTTGGCGCTTGATTTCCTTCTCTCTAACATTCTTCATCGTGTCAGAAAAGTCGAGGACGTAGCAGCACATGTGGAGCTTCCGGAGGAAGAGGTTCTGACGCTCCGATACTGGCGCGTCGCGGAACGGCGGCACAGGCTCCATAGACCCGGGGGTCGGCACGAGCGGCATCGCGGTGCCAGAGCTAGGAGGCGCGCCGCCTCCGACTCCGCGCGAGGCGTGGTTCACCATGACATTGGCCGAGGGCGCCGCCGGCGAGTTGCGGTTGGCAGCGACGTACGGCGCAGGCAAGGGATCGCTTGCCTCGGACTTGGAGGGCTTCTTGTGCCCACCTTTCATGATCTTCTTGAACATTTTGCTGTGGCGCGACGGAAACCCTAACCCTAGGATTGAATGATGACGATAATGATGAAGTGATATGTAGTGGTGTAGGCGAGGTAGTGGACGAGCAAAACGTGTGGCTGCGTGAGACGCGTGAGGAAAACGTTTTCATCGAGGTGATGCTAATCCATGTATCAACGGTTTGGTCGTTCTCCCCCGATTTTGGCGTCGGGATTTGGATCTGAAAGCGAGAAACGAGAATGGCGAAGGAAAGTGGTTGGGAAATTGTGAAAGCTACGGATCCGAGTGAGGAATCATGGGAGTGGAAAAGGCGATGTGAATGCCGGAAATTGATGGTTGGATCGATCGGAGAAGTGCTCCGGCGAGGGAGAAGGAATGGCGCACACAGAAACAGCGATAGAGAGAGAAAGAGAAAGAGAGAGAGGAGAGAGAGAAAGAGAAAGAGAAAGAGCGAGAGAACGATAATTAAGGGGTGGGATTAGAGAGAGGTGCGTGTGGAAAGTGAGTGATTATAATGGATTACAATAATCGCTTTCGGAAACAGTCATTTTTTTGAATTATGATTGATTTTTTTATTTTATTTTACAGCCATTGAAGTTGGTTTTGTTTTCTACTTTTTGGAGTGCTTTACACTTCATGATTTGGTTTGCTAAATATTTTTATTTATTTATTTTTGTGGTGTGTTCGTGTTTTGGTATGGTTGAGTTTGAATTGGATAAAGGAAGAAAATGGATTAAGTGAGTGAGATGATTGAAAGCCACAAGAGTGTAGTTGAGTTGGTCAGGGGTATAATGTACGTGGCTCATAAGTGAAGAATGAGGGATTGTGACTTGGCCACGTGGCATCTAAATGTCGTATACAGTACTCTTTGTGGTTAACTGCCACATGTTCTGTTACTCTGTTTTTTCTCCTTGAGAGGTAAAAGCCTACAAACAAAAGCAGAACCAAATCCTATAATGTGGTCAGATTCCTCATGGGTATGAAAAATGTGGTCATTTAAACAGAATCTTTGTTTGAAAACTTCTTAGTGGTTCATTTTCAAAATGTGCCCTCAAAAACTACACTTTTATAAAACAAAGGGCGCGTGTAATGCTTCTTTTAATTGATTTTATGAATAATTGAATATGATATGGCAGATAGAAAAAAACATGATGCAATAATGAAATGATGTGGGTCAGCATTGATTAATATAATAATGTTATCTATCTTAGATTCGAACGTGATGTGCTAAAAACCTTTGAACCTTTCAACTTTTGAGGGAAGCATAGATAATGAATGAATGTACTAATCTGGTGAAAGATGATAGAGTTCCTCCCACGTATCAATGGATGACTATTTCAACTGCCTATCTTTAGCCGATCATCAATTTCGGCACTGCTAATGTTACTCATCACAAGGGATCTAGATCTCCTGCCAAAATTTTTTATGCAATCCCTTTCTTTTAATTTCCAAATTAGCCTTTTCTTTTCATCATCTGTACAAGATTTTAATCTCAATTTTTATTTATAGATTATAACAAAAAAAAATTCCTTTCATAAATGAATAGCATAAACAACTCCTCATTAAATTGTGCATAAATTTTGTCTTAGAATGCATGCACCAAAGTTGCTAAAATATTGTCAGAGTCGAATATGTGAGTGTACTATTTTTACTTAATGGGCGCAATATATACCTTTCAACTTGGAAAAAGAAAAGCCCAGCAGCAGTTGTGCTTTCGAAACAGTTTATTCATTTAATTTATACATTGATTATAAGTGTTAATTTTTTTTAAATATGCATGTCTAATAGGATTTACATTAACTATTGCATCATCAATATTTTATATAAATCTAATTTTAATCAAATTAACAATTAAGTTATATATATAGATGACTTGTTAAAGTTTTTTAAAAATAACAACATTTTTATTAAAAATCTTTTCTTGTTTAGATGAGAACATTGTCATTAAATAATAATAATAGATATTTTATCCTTTTTATTGATATTTTTCATAGAATAATTTAAGTTTATTTCATTAAAAAAATCATAAGTTTTTAAAATATTAAAGTAGTTTAAATTTTTCATAAAAAACAAAATGAAAGAGATACAAAAGTTCTAAGAAATAATTGAAAAAAGAGAATATAACTAACAAATTTAATAAATTTTGTGAGAACGAATAAATAAAAAGATAACTTATAATTACATATAAAATGATACATCAGACAAAAAAAATCATATAGTAATTGAGATTATTATATCAACATGGAAGGAAAAAGACTTTATAAATATATTAGTAATTTAAGATAAGACTCTAATTAAAACTTGGAATAGACAAAAGTCATCAAGTAATCACTTATGCATTTTATAATTTTTATACTACATACCTAATAAAAAAAACATAAATTAAAAGATAAGATTATACAAAGAATTATCTTAGAATACAATACACAATCAAAAAGTTATAAAGTGTAGAACTTGCAAGCAAGAATTTCATCATTAGTAGAGAGGTTGAAATTGATGAAAATATTTTTTAAAATTGGGAGGAAAGAAAAATTACAAGAAGCGACATCTTCATTTTAATGGAATAATCTTAAGAAGAAGTTCAATATGTAGTAAAGGAAATAGGTACTATATAAAAACACAAGACTAGTAAAGGGATATTTACAGTAGCTTAGAATTAACTAGAATAAAACATATTTACCAACCCATTATCAAGAGTAAAGTTCAAACAGTTATGAATAATGTCTGGAGATGTCAAAATTTACATCAATGTGGAGTAATGAAAGATTATGCCATTCTAGAAAAAAAAAATATAAAGACATAGAAATTACTAAAATTATAAATTTTATATAAGTAATCTCTATAAGTATTAGAACATCTTAAAAATATTTAAAAATAAAAATATAATTTTAGATATTATAACTGTCGGTAATTTTACAATTAAAAAATCTATAATATTATAAATTAATTTAGAGATAATGTATCAATCTTATACATAGGTAACGTCACTTTGTAATGTGATGATAAAACCAATACAAACTCATCTAGACCTATACAACTTTTGGATCGAATGTACAAGGTATTTTTGATTTAAGTCATTGAGGTGGTTTGAAAATTTTCAATTAGTCAAACATTTTTATGCAAGAATATGATGTCATAGATTCAATGTCATTAATTTTGGATATATATATATATATATATATATATATATATATATATATATATATATATATATATATATATAAAAAAATAAAAAATAAAAAATAAAAAATATTTTATATGGAGAGATAAGTTAATCTTTTAATAAGTCAAATTCAAATATTAATTGAATAATTATAAAAAATAAAAACAATCAATAAAATACAAATGAAACCACAGTTAAAAACACAAAGAAAAAATAAACTAAAATTTTTTGAATAAAATTACTATACAATAATTACGATGCATTTAACACTATTAAATCTACTTTTTTAATAATAATAATAATAATAATTATTATTATTATTATTACTATTATTATTATTATTATTATTTATTTAACTTTCTTTTTGTTTTTCAGTACATATTAATTTAGATTTGAATTTGCATATATTAAAGATAAGATATGGTTTTGAAAATTACAATTAGTTTGTTTTGATGCATTTTAGAAAAAATAAGTATAATCTCTGAAATTTGAAATAAATATATTTAGCTAAATATTTGAAATGTGTAATGAAGGTGTTGACCATAATTACAAATTTGTTAATACTATTTCAAGCATATTTAGGGACTGTGGTTTTAGGAGGAAGAAAAAAAAATTATCAATTTTTAAAGTTTTGTACGGTACAAAATTTGATTAACTAATTCTTAAACTACTTAAATATTTATTTATATAATTTTTTATCAATTAATTTATTTATTCATTTGGATTGATCTAATATAACCAATTTTATTTGTAAAATAAAATAAAATAAGGACATAATTTTTTTAAAATATATATACTTTTTTTAAGCTTAATTTGTAAATATCACAACTAGAATATTGATCACGATTTTCTTTTAAACATAATCAAGAGAAAAGTTTCATCCATATAGGGGTCCTAATTTAATAATTATAAAGTGATTAATAATAATAAAATTGTTTCCTAATTAAAATTTGCATTAGTACTTATACCTTTTTCAAGTTTTCATACTTGTAAATTAAATAAATATTTAAAAAATATTTTATCAAATTTGAAAAAAAAATCTTAAAATATAAATATTAGATTGATGAAAATAATACATTTTAAAAAGTCTCACATCACATTGGATAAATAATGAAGTGAGTTATAGTAGTTATACAATGACTTTAAGTGTTCTGACAACCCACTCAAAAACACTTTAAGATTGTAATTGATTTTTCTTATGCTATTTAGTAGAGTGTTGTGAGATTTGGTTTAAATTCTTACTTTGGAGGGTGTTGTGTATTTGGGACCAAAAGACATAAGAGAGTAGTCTATGTGTTATAAAAATGTTCACATAATGTTATTATCTGGTTATCATCAGATAACGATCGTGATTTTTTATCTAGTCATGAAGTTTTCATGTTATATTCATGTGTTAATTATTTTTATTTTATTTCTCTATTAGTAGGATAATTCTCGGAAATAAAGATAATGAAGTTCTTCATGATGTTTTTTTTTACATCAGAGCTTATGGTTCAATAAGTTATTCTTAGTATAATATGTGGTTGCAACTTAGTATGATCTTCCACATTAGAAAAAATTAATTCCTTATTGTTAGAGAATCATCCTTGGTTGTTGAAGTTGTAATGTCATTTGCAAGTGTTGTCAAATGTGACATAGTGAAATTTGACGGAAGTATCATTTTGGCTTGTGGCAAACTCAAGTCAAAGATGTTCTTATACAATTTGGATTACATAAGGCAATAAAAGGAAGAATTTTTGACATGGAGTTAAGTATCCTCATAGTATAACCATATTGTCATGGAAAAAAAATGAGTTTTTGCTAGCAGTAGTGTGCGTGGACATTGACTAATATTGATGTAGGGTGTGTGGTGATTATACATGGGCATTAGTTAGCACTGATGCAGGTGTGCAATGAAAGAAAATTCTTGTAATGATTTAATTTTAAGTGAGTATACTCTTTATGGTGAAGTATGAATTATTGATATAAGCAATGGACATAAAAATATGTTTATTTTAACCATGGTAGAGATTATTGGCTTGATAAAAATAATACATCTTAAAAATTCTCATATTACATTGGATAAGTAATGAAGTGAGTGATAATAACTATATAATGGACTTAAAATTTTTGATGTTCTGTCACCTCAGTAAAAAAAATACTTTAAGCTTGTATTTTATTTTTCTTATACTCTTATAGTAGAGTGTTGTGAACTTTGATTTAAATTCTTATTTTAGAAAATGTAGGTATATTTGGAGTCAAAAGATATGGGAGAGTAGTCTATGTTTTGTAAAAAATTTTACATAATGTTATTCACGGGTTATTATTAGATAATGGTTGTACTTTTTTTTTTTAGTTTTCACGTTATATTCTTGTATTAATTATTTTTATCTTATTTTTCTATTAATAAGACAATTCTTGGGGATAAAGACAATGCTATTTTTTATAATTTTTTTATCAATAAATTATATATATTAAAATCTTATAAAATTTATGGGGATTTCTTAAAAAAAAATAGCAGAAAAAAAATTACAAAATCTAAATTTACAAAATGTACGTTATCACAATAAAAATGTACGTTGTCACAATAAAAAGAGTTTCCGTAATTTTTTTTTCATAAGAACACTTTTTTTATGATTTTTTTATAGAAAAGTATTTTTAAGGGTTTTTTTTTAGAATTATTTTTTTATGAAACTTATTTAATAATGACGAAAGAGAGGAAGAATAGGCTCAACGACAAAAAAAGAAGAGAGGATAAAAAAAATCATTTTGGTGGCATACAGGGATCCACAGAGATGGTGGAGAATATAAAGGAATCATATGCAGATTATATTGGATAACATATATTTTAAGAGATAATTGATAAAAGTAAGAAATGAGATAAATATTTATATATTATATCTATAAATATATTAATTTTACAAGTTTATATTACTTCTAAATCAGACATAATTATTAAATTTGACAAAGATTTTTTTTAGAAGTGATTGATTTATTAATAATACTTTTCTTTCAATTTGATGCTTACATATATTTAAGTTGATATTTTTAGTTGTAAAGTACACAAAAAATAACAAAAAAAGGTAACAATAAAGAATTGAGAACAAATATCTTGTAAAATAATATTATCTCAAAATAATATTCAAAATCAATTTTACAATTTTATCAACATATTTCATTTATTTTATATTATGAAAATTTTGAATTAAATTTGTAGTGATTAGTCACGATAAATAAACCCAAAATTAGGGACGACAAAATAGGTCGGTCTGTCCCGCCAAAAACGGGGGATGGACTTACCTACTATAATCATGACAGACTATAGACATTGGTCCGTCTTGCCATAGGACAGAGTTGGTGGGCTGGCCAACCGTAACTAAAAAAAGTAATTTTTTTTAAATCAAAAATTTCAGTAAATTTAATAAGATTATCATTTATTTGTTAATAATTCAATATATATATATATATATATATATATATATTAAGTTAATAATATAAATCAACACATTGTTTTAATAAATTATAATTTAGAATAATAATAAAATTTATATAATAATAAGTAATAACAAATATATATAATAATCAGTGTTTATGATGAATAAGGAGGAGATAACGAGTAAGGAGAAGATGAGAGAAGAACTTGTGTTTGAGTATGAAAAATATTTTTTATAAGGAGTAAGAGTAAAACTTTTTTAATTATTTTTTTACAATTTTTAAGTTTATATATTGTCTTTATGATTAACTGTATTACAATAAAAATATATTTTTTTATTAATTAGGCAGGCTGCAAGCTTGGTGAGGTGGGTCGAGCGGGCTGGTGGGTCGACCTGTCGGGCCGGATACGTTTTGTTTAGGGATGGCAAAACGGCCGGCCCGCCCGCTTTGGCCCGCCTCGCCTTTGGCCCGCCAAAGCGGGCGGGCCGGCTGGCCCGATATAGTCATGACGGTCTGTAGACCTTGGCCCGCCCGCCAAGGGCGGGTTAGCGGCTGGTGGGCTGGCCCGCCATAATTTAAAAAAAATAATTTTTTTTAATAAATTTAATAATAAGATTATTATTTGTTTGTCAATAATTCAATATATATATATATATATATATATATATATATATTATTTCAATTTAATAATATAAATCAATATATTATTTTAAGAAATTATAATTTAGAACAATAATAAAATTTACATAATAATAAATAATAACAAATATATATATATATATATATATATATATATATATAAATAACGTTAAACTTATAAAATTTATATTTTTTATATTGAAAAATTCAAATACCTATATCTTTTTTATTTGATAAAACTTCATATTATACTTGGTTGAGTAATTTTTATACCTTTAATTCAAGTAATAAGGATAAATATAATCGAGTACTTAGGATAAATAAGGAGAACAGGAGAGAATGTTATATTTCGGGAAGGAGAATATTTTCTGTGAGAATGAAACTTTTTTAATTCTCTTTTTAAAATTTTTAACTTTATATATTATCTTTATAATTAATTTTATTACAATAAAAAATTATTGTTTTATTAATTAGGCGGGTCGCAGGCTGGCCCGCCCGTCCGCAGGTTGGCCCGACGGGTTGGCGGGCTTGGCGGGCGGGCCAAAGCGGCTGGTGGGCTGAAAACACCAACCCGCCCGCCATATTATGGCGGGCTGGGCAGCCGACCCGCCGGGCCTAGCCCGTTTTGCCATCCCTAGTTTTGTTATCCCTACCTAAAATTAGTTACTCTTTAAATGATATTTACTTATTTAAATCTCTAAGGTCCAACCTCTATTTTTAATGTCATCAAATCTTCATAAATAAATATTATTCTTTAAGAAAAATTAATTACACTTAAATAATATAAATATAAATTAATATAAGTAATTGAAAATAAATAAATATAAAATAAGAACAATGCTTAAATAAATATTAAATTGGACTCGTGCGTCACAGAAGATAAATAAATAAGTATGAAATAAGAACAAGTGTGTAACTGTAGATAAATAAATAATTAAATATAAAATAGGATTAGTACGAAACTAAAAATAAATATAAAATAAAATAAATACAAAATTAAAGATAAATAAATAAATATATAAAAGAGACTAATACGAAATTAAAGATAAATAAAACAACACTAATGTTGCAAAATTTTATTAAGTTACTTTTATATTTTGTTTCTTTTTCTCTTTCTCTCTCCTCTTCTCTTTATCTCCTTTTTCTTTGTCCCTCTCCGTCGCTCCTTTCTTCTTTATTTCTCTCTTCTTTTTCACCTCATTTTTTCACGCATGGATAGGCCTTTTTCTACTCATATTTTCTATTTTCTTTTTAATTTATTTTAATTATTCATTAAATATAATATGGTCTTAATATATATATATATATATATTAATACTTAAAAATAATATTTTTTTTATAATTTAAACAGTAATAGGTATTTTTAATAAATATTTATTTATAATAATAATAATTTAACTAATAATAATTTTTATTTTAATAAATAGGTCTTTTATAATAATATATTTAAATTATCCAAAAATATTATAATTTAATATATTATATTTACAAATTTTTACATGATAAATTTTAAGATATTACAACCTCTAACATTTTGTTTTATGTTAAATTAAAAAAATGTTAATTAACATATAAAAAAGTTGGAAAGGGCTTTGACTAAAAAAAATGAAATGATACTTAAATGACTTATTTTCAAATAGTATCATGTTCAACTTCCTTACACATACACACCACGGCTTGACCTCTTGAATTTGTCACAAGGGAGCTCAAAAGTTGAGATCCTAAAGCAAAATTATATAAAATTAAATGATCCATCATAAAGATGGAACTGATGGATGACCAATATAGAATTAGGGATGAAAAAATGGATTAGATCTGATGGGGCGGGTTAGTACTTTCAGCTCGTCAGTCCGTTTTATCCCGTCCTGCCAACCTGCGGGGTGAGGCGGACCAGCCTACAACCCGCTTTACTTTTTAATGTAATATAATACAGATACAAAGAGTCGGAAGGGCAATATATAATATAAATATTTGTGAAAAGAGAATTCTAAAAGTCTTATTGTCTTATAAAGAAAATTCATAAAGACTCAGTATCTCACTACTAAGAGAATTTAAAAAGTTTTATAATTACTTAAACTCACATTACGGGAAACACTTTCATTTCTCAAGCACAAAGTTCTCTCTCTCTTCTTACTCATCATCTCCTTCTTGCTCATCCTTTTTTATAAGGTAAAAATTATATCTCTAGGCATGACAACGGGCGGGTTTTGCTCCCCGTCCCCGCCCCGACTTTTTTAATCATCCCCGTCCCGCCCAGTCCCCGATTTATATTATTTTAAAAAAGATAATTATATTTATAATAAATTAATTTTACTATGTATTTTTATATATAAATAAATATTTATAATTTATAGTTATTATTAATTAAATAGACATTTTAATTTATTATATTTATATTAAAATATATATGTAAAAGAAATATTTAATTATTTTTTATTTATATATATATATATATATAATATTTATAACATTATTATTATTATAACATTGCATTCAAATATTTGAATATTTATAACATTATTATTATAATACTTGTATTAAAATATTTAATTATACATATAAGTTAATTCATTTTTAAGTTGTCAATATATAGTTTATAAGAAAATATTTAATAAGTTAATTCTTATTTAATTAGTTTGAGGTAATAAAAGTTTAAATTATTAATTTCTTTTAATCCTTTAAAATGCAATTAATTTATTAAGATAAAATTTGATATATGATAAATAAGCATAATAAGATAAAAAAATATGACATAATAAATATAAATTATAAATAAACTAATATTAGTTACTACTAAGATTGATGTAAAATATTTAGAAAAAGATAAAGAAAAGAGATTAACTTTGTGTTCATCAAATTGGTTGAAAAGATTGAAAAAAAAAACAAATTGATGGGAGAGACTAAGAAAATGTGAAAAACTGAAAGATAATGGAGAGAATAATATAATAAATTAATTGATATAAATGATTGAAAAAGATAAAAAAATTAAAAAGTGGGTACAAGAAAAATAAAAATTAGTGAAATATAAAAAAATAACCTTATATGTAATAGAAAAAGAAAATGAAATACTTTTAAAATATTAATATTTTAAAATTTAAATTTAAATATAAAGTCGGGACGGGACGAGGCGGGCGAGGTCGGGGTCGGGGTGGGGATTGCATTACCCATCCCCACCCCGTCCCCGACTTTTAAAGCGGGAAAACCCAAACCCAACCCCATCCCCGGTCAACTTGGGTTTTCCCATCAAACTCGGGCGAGGACGGGTCGGTCCCCACGGGTACGGGTTTAATTGTCATCCCTATATATCTCATACTTTTTTACTCTCTTTTATTGAAAGATTTGATTTAAAAATAATAAAATAAAATAAAATAAGAAATATAACGGGTCAATCCGCCAACCCGTCCTTTGGCGGGGCGGGCCGAGACCTTAGCTCGCCATGACTATAGCGAGCTAGCCCGCCCTGCCCCACTTTTGGCAGGTCAAAGACAGGACGGAATGACTCGTTTTGTCATCCCTATATAGAAACACATAAAAAATTTGAACATTTAATTGTAATTTTTTTTTTTATCTAAGATTGGATTTGGATGACCCCATTTAATTGTTCTATCTTCATCCACGACCCCTTTGCTTCTTGTGGTTTTTGGGTTTAAAATGAGGATTTTGGTGCCCAATACCTTGCTTTGGGAGGTCATGAAAATCCATGTTCTTGAGTTTTGATCATGAA